TATATATATATATATATATATATATAAATTTTACATATCATCCATAGATATACACTAACAATGAACTTCATTTTCTACCTAAATTTCATACTTAATGTTCTAGCCAACATAGCCAAAAGTATCAATTGTTATAGTGAGATGAAACTTTAAATAAAGAAAACATATCAAAAACATCTTTGGTCTACAGATATTTCTTTTTTTGAATCAAGACGTCTTACATGAGAGGCAGTATTTTGGATTTAAGATTTCTAGGAGTACTGTTGCTGTCAAGATAAATCTTTGCAAAAAAAAGTTAATTAATGGTACAAGTTTAGGAATTTTTCACATATTAACCATAAAAATCTGATTTTCAAAGCAATGCAGCTAATGTTATAAATCCTTAATCTTTTTGTAACTAACTTCCAACATAATTCTTGAACATGTTCTTTTTAATTAAATATATAAAAATATTACATTTCTGAAATCTACATTCTATAACTGTACAGCTACAGCAAGCATTTCAAACTGGAGGTAAAGTTTAGTAACCACTGTCCATTGATCTAGAACTTTAAACTCGCCAAAACTAGATACTACTTAGTATTATAAACATTCATATTTACCTTATTGTATGTTGTGAAATTCCCAGTATTAAAAATAAAATTGGCATCTATCTAAGTATATATATTTTTTTATCAATTTCTTCTTGAGTTGTTATTACCCATATTTTATCTTTATCTGCTTCTTGAAATATCAAGTTGAAATTTTTAAGTTTCTTGAGCATCTACCACTCTTTTGAAATTAAAGTATCACTCCTCTTGTTTTCAGTAACAGAATATAATTCGACTTTCTTTACAAATTAACTGTAATTCCAAGTTTATTCCTTGAACAGGATCAAAATCTGATTTACCTTTTGCTAAGGAATCATCATTATTTGAACCTTCATAAAAATATCCTTTAAGTCTTAATTTCCTATTGAATTCATATATCTTCTGCTAGTTGCACTATATTAGGTTTATTTACAGGAGTAAATGATAATCCTTTTGCTAATAATTGTATTTCATTTTCTCACAAATTAATTTTAAAAAAATGTTGATCCTGTTTATCTAAATATTTTTTGGAATTCTGTCATATTTTCTGAAATTCATAGGTCTTTCATATCTTTCTCGTTTTCCTCCATGTCTTCCATCCTATTGTAATTTCTGTCTTAATTCTTTGATGACTTCAAACATATTTATCTCCTATATCCAACCTCTATGTTTCCATCTAGTTTTGTTAGTGCATCTGATATTTCTTCTCCATTTTCTTGTATTATATTATATATTTTCTCCTTTATCAACATCTTAATCTTTATTCATAATAACTTTACCTTCAATTATCTTTTCTGTCTTTCTTTAAATCAAATTTCATTTTTTCATTACTTCTCTCTTCCATTCTAATAAATCATTTCAATATTTTATTAATGCTTCAAAAGTCTCTATTCTTTCATTGAATAAATTCCAAATTTGGGTCAATGCCAGACTTTTATCTTTTGATTTTACATTCTAACTTCCAAATTCAATCCTCAACTTTTCTGTTTGTAATCTTGTTCTTACTTGCTTTTCTTTCATTTTTTTTTGCAAAATTGGAAAGGTATTAACTCTTTTAGCACGGGCTAACCATTTTGTACTTATAATTTTCATGCTATAACATATGTTATCAGTAAACACTACGATGCTTTCATACGCAAAATATCAAATTAAGTCTTAAAAAGCTATAGATTTCGTATTTTGACACCAGAAACATCTATTTTGAACCAGTGCTGCATTTAACATACCACGTGACACAGAAAAATCAATGTTGAACGTTTTTTTTTATATTTACTTTTAAGTTAAGAAATTGAATAACGTATGGTACTAAAATTCGATTTATAATTTACAGTTTGATACCAAACTTGAAATATTAGTTCAATAAGATTGTGAATGCGAGTCAACAGACACGATAGGCCATGGCCTTTCATCCATGACCCATCTCAAAAAGGTTAATGGGGGAACACTCTTAAATTGTATTTTTCCAGCTTCTCCAAAATACAAACTTTCTTTTTCATCTATTGTTTCTTGGAGATTATAATTTCTTTCAGAGAATCAATTTTCTGCTCAAGTCCCTTCCAGTAAAACTTTTAACTTTTCTACCTGTAATTTTTTGTCATGCATTCAATCAATTCTTTTGCATCTATTTATCAAAAGTTCTGCTAAATTTCTCTAAAAAATCCACTTTTGCATTTAAATCTCTTCTAATAATCTATTTTGCAATGAAT